ACTGATTTTCAAATATTATTTTTAAAGTCTTTATAAAGCATTTCAAAATAATATACAACGCACGTTTAGCCATGACTAGTATTTATAAATATTCAAACAACTTTTTATCTATACATTCTTTTCACTATCTATTTTTAACTAGGCAACAATTCACAGACTTTCATCAAAATATGTTACACATTTCACCAAAAGATTTTCATCGCAATCATCATCGTTAATTGCAATAAGGTGTGTTACACACCACTATCACTTGTAATATTCATTGTTACATCACCATTATCTGCAGGCCAATCGCTTTTAACATTCATTTACATCACTGACAATACCACCCCTTTGTAACATTTATTTTTACATTGACGCCATTGCTACCATCCCTCGTAACATTTATAGTTACACAGTTAGCCACCATTCACCACACCACCATGACATGCTACCATTCTCCACACACCACCATCGCAACGAATCAAAATCGCCATCCCGTTACCGCTACAAACCAATGCAAGCACAAATTACCAAAAAACGAATCACACTCCTCCACGAACGACAGCCACCACCGCATGCTCCTCACGCAAAAAAAATAAAAAATTGTAGATCCACAACACATGGACCACCACCACACTCGAAATTAAGCCTCCTATAACCATCACTACCAACTTGTCAATCAAAATTGCAAACACCACCACCACATCAATGTATAGTATTTAACAATGTATAGTATTTAACTGCTTATACAACGGGTCAATAAACGAAATGAGAATGAAATATTCGAAAATATGCCGAATTTTCAATGAAATTGTATTTAACTGTATAAGAGAAAGAAATTGTAAAGATTTTTAAGTAAGTAATTCTTCATAGTTAGAGGTGGTTGGTCATGGAGGACACGACTTTGCAACAGGTAGCTTACCATAACCAATCACATCATTTAAATTTTCAAATAATCGTACATGAGTAGTTGGATACCTAGGTCATAACGAGTGAACTAATTGATTGTTTATAATGGCAGGCTCGCCCGGGCCACGGGCCGGGCTGGGCTCGAGCCAAAGCCCCAAAATGAGGCTTGGCCCAAGCCTCGGCTCAGTGTAATCTAGCCCAAGCCCTAGCCGACGAGCTTTTTTGTCATCCCTACATGTTCCCACACCATGCCAAGGATGCAGTGCAGATGGTTTTGGGTAACTTCGTGGCAAGTTGGATAGTGACTAGGGGTTGTCATTTTAACAGGAATTTTACCTCTCGAATCGGAACCAAACTACAAAGAAGGTTATCCCGTTCCAAAAGAAAAAATCAAAATCAAAATCGAAATCGAAATCGGAATCGAAATCGAAAACCGACCAAATCGAAAATGTATTTGAACCAGATTGTGGATACTGAATAAGGATCCAAATTTATTCTTCTATGTAAATTTTTATTTGCTTACGTGAAATTTTTAGAATTTATCATAAATTTGGTTTGAGTCGAATATTTAAGTATTATAGTAGTTGATGAAAATACATCAAATATTATATTCATTTTGTAGCTTGTGACCTTGTTTTAAATAGCATAAATTGAGTTTAAGAATAAATATTTTTGGACTAGTTATATCCGAGTTATTTCGATAGAAAGAATGTATTCTAAATCTTATATTTTTTTCATTAAAAAAATATATAAAGATAATAAAATAATGAAGTGAAACTTTCATTTCAATTAAGATCGGTACGTTTGCATTGGAATTTGAAAATATATATAATTTAATGATCTCATAAATTATTACATTAACCTCAAATGCGTTTGGAATTTAAATGCTTAAACTGAAATGCCTTTTTGGTTGACTGGGGTTACGTGTAGCATCTGATTATATATCTTTCTATATATAAAAAGTGCCTATTTAACGGAATTTGTTCGTTTAACGGAAAAACTAACGGAATTTGTTGTTTTAACGGATTATGTAACGGAATTTCTTGTTTTAAACAGGCAGCTGCACCTTATTTCACTATTTTTATTATAACTTT